AATATGGGTGGAGGTCGGGGATCTCTTGGTATTGAAGCGGATTCCATCACTTCTTTATCATTCTGAAGCACCTGATAGGGGTTAGGGGTGAAAAACGGAGATTGTTCGGTTATATCTTGTGAAGATGTACCTGGTTGATGCTGAAGTTCTTCAATTGTTGGTTTTGATGATGTTCCTGGCTGGGTTTCATTTTCTCTGGAGCTAATAGGCGTTACTGCAGGTGTTTGACGACATTGACGAGGCTTTTGTTTGACAGGCGAAGAACAAGGTGTTGAGCCTAACGGCCGAATTCTCTTGATTGAAGCTCTACTAGACATGGCCTGATTGTGATATCGCATATAAGGGAAAAAAAAAATGAAAAAAAAAAATAAAAAATAAAATAAAATAAAAATAACCCTATAATTTATAACAAACAATAAATATCAATTGTTATTATGTATTCTTGACTTGTTTTGAATAAATAATCTCAAAGATTTCACTGCAAAATAAGTAAATTCTGAGAGACGATGTAGAAACACGTCCTTTCGCATCAGCTGATCCACAATTTTCCCATATCAATTTTATCAAATTCTACCCACTTCTCCTAGAAAAAATAATTTCGCTTTCGGATCAGCAAAGCTATTATTTGGCAAGACTATATTTTGAAAACGGCGAGTTTAATTTGACACAAGCTTGAAGGAAATTTGGAGGATAGTATAAAAATTTCCTAATATGAATTTCATTGAATTCCATTTAATAATTAAAATTAATATAAATAATTGTTAACAATATAATGGCAGTGAAATGTGAAAGCCACTGATCATATGGAGTGGGAGTTAGGTTATGACAATATTTTTATGGGGTTATAAAAGTTTAGGATTTATTCAAAGAATTAATTTATATTGTATTCTTTCGTCGATTAAACCTTCGTGTAGTTTTCAATAAATTTAAATTAATTTTTACTCTGAGTTGTAAAAAAGAAAAATCTTATTTGTGATTGTGTTTATTATTATTGAAGTTCAACCAGCTCGTCGTGGTGTCGAGTTTATGTGTGATTTTTACATATATTTTTATATTCCAGCTTAAATAGTTTTGTTCCGACTGAAGAAAAATATTGGTCTCGTTAACTCTGATAAAACAAAAAGTTTAGTTTTTCTTATTTCTCTTATGGGATTTTTATAAAATCGATTTTACGAGTGAAAGCATGCCGATTAAGTACATATTACTACTGTTAGTGCAAAAGGTTGTATGCATTCTGCTACGATGAAAAATAGCGGAGGGCAATAAATTATCAAATTATACTAATAAATCATAACTAAACAATTAGTTTTTATGCTTTCCTGTAAAACAATCAATGTTTACATACGACTTTTTGCACTAACAGTAGTGGATACTCATATTCAGTACGCAATCGATTTTTTTTTTTTCCGAGTCAACAAATATGCAATCTGAAGAACTGTTTCGTATGTTAGAATTCGCTGTTGAACAAAACTCGTGGATATCAAACCCGTATATGTTGAGGGATTACTGAATTTCCGAAAAAGGTTCCCCCAGAGATTTTATCTTCGTACGAAAAATTTTAGACCTGGTGATATAGATATTTTTTAGCCAATGCAAACGGTGAGGAAGCTATTCCTTTCTTGGCAGACATTTTAAAATTATTTATGAATATATTCATATCTCCCTATAATTATTGTCCACGTGACAAATTATTATATTTCTAAATAAATAAGATAAATAATTATTTATTTGTTATTTTAATATTTCTGTGAACACACTTTTTTTCACTTTTGATTATTCGCATTGCATTGTGATTTTGTTCAATCTGGTCGTTGTATTTGGTTCTTCGTGATTTAATTTGTTTTGCATTTGTTTTGTCAAATTTACTAGAGTATCATCTTTTACTGTAGTCTTCTTCTCCACTTCTCGCAAAATGGGCTGCATGGTCAGCTTTTTTCGCTGTTTTATATTTCATTTTCTCATGTTTTTCATATTCCTGATTTGTTTAACTCTTAGTGTTGTATATTAAATTTGTGTAATATTTTTATTAATTTTAAAAATAGTTTAGGCAAGAGATGGTCGGGGTGAAGGCCATAAATAGACTAAAATAGTGGCAAAACTATTTTATTAAAAGCCAACTTTTCGACCCGACTTTGTAGGTCTTCTTCAGGACTAGAACGGACAAGATGCGAAAGGATGTAGAAAATTGTGGAAGTTACATGATATTTAGATAAAAGTTATAAGCAAGGAAAATAAACTTATTTAAATTATAAACAGTAATAATAATACACAAAATAAAATTTAATAAAATAGTTTTGCCACTATTTCAGTCTATTTATGACCACCACTCCCGACCATCTCCTTCTTCTATAATACAACGGTCAAATATTAAGTATTCAATTTAAAATAGTTAGTTTCTTTAGGATGTTCAGAAATGCATTATTTTTTTTTCTGTTCTGATACTAACTTTTAATGAACAAATTCTATTTATTGCTGCATGATTCTGGTAGCTAAATAAAAAAAACAATAGAAAACTTACAGCCCCATCTTAAAAGTTATACATCATTATTACTCCTTATCATAAAATAATTCATAGTAATTTTTTTTTATACTTATACTTATTTATTCTACTGTATCTAAATATATATTTATTTTGATTTTGTTAACTAAAACTATTTATACCTTTGCCATAGCAATAAAATATGAATTTTTATTTACCTCAATTTAAGTAGTCGTAAACAACTAAAAAAATATAAGAAATATTGGCTTACAGATTTTAGTGACTGCTTGAAGTGTTACCGGAGGTATACGGTGAAGAAACTATGTATGCTGACTGGAGATTGGAATGCAAAAAAATGCTAAATGAAAAATGGAAATTCAAGTGGAACCAATCTACGAATAAATTGCAAGAAATTAAAAAAGGTACCAAACCGTGGACGACCTCTTTCAGAAAGAACAGAAAAGAAGAAACAATTTTAACTCGGCTTAGAATTGGACATGCAGCTCTTACCCATGGCTACCTGACGAGAGACCTGGAACCACCATTTTGTAAAACATACAACACATCACTTACACTAAAACACATTGTAACAACTTGCAGACTATACTCTGACACCAGAACAAAACATAATATACCTTCCATCATATCTGACGCACTTTCAGATGACGTAGAAAAGATACAAAAAGTATTTGAATTTATAAAAGGCATTAAATTTGTCCACCTAATTTGATTACTTCTAAAGCCGCTAATGACCCGCTAAATGTAGATGCGGAATGTAACAATAAATACATAAATAATAAACTATGTATGACTGAGCAATCACTGATCACCAGCGACCTTAATAAACCAGATCTGTGATCTTCGTTTTGGCCAATTAAATCAAAACCACTATATTATAACTTTTCAGGATTGAAATTATATATAAACGTCCATTTTCATGACATAATGAGAATATAAATTTCAGATTAGTTTATTGAAAAATGAAGCTAATATTTATAAAAGTTATAGTTATGAGCAAATACTGAAATTATTGTAGCATAGATAATCAAATTATAGTTATAAACAAATACTATGTAATATACAAAAGTCGGGACGTTTTTTAGTTTAATAATCAAAAGTGTATTATAACAAATACATATTAAAGACCGTCATATAAATAATAATATCAAACATTTCGAAAGTTCTGCATCTATTTACAATATTTTTATTTATTTTATTTTTCTTAAAATCACTAATTTGATCCTCTACTTTCTGTTTTAGAAATACTTATCGTATATAAGTAAGTATCTGAATTATCAAAATTCTTTTAATGTTATACCTGGAGTAGCCTGGCTTTAATGATTCTTAGCTAGTTCGTCGAGACTCATATCAAATGGAATGCCTTGCGTTTTTTTGTTTAATTTTTGAATCGTTTACTTAATTTTAATGGAGTTTTAACCAGCCATCATTTCTTGGTTTGTCAAGTAAGAATTAAATTTATGAATTTTAACAGAATCCGGAAATTATCACTAACGACTGTCTAGATTATTGTACAACGTAGAACTGCAGAAAGAAAGATCGAGAGCTGAAAATATACTTAACTAAAATTGATATAGGTAGGCTGTGTAATATTTAATAGGAGTACATCAGAAGTTCTATATAGTTTTCTATTGTTTTATCTCGCGAATTTAGGCATTGAGAGCCCAATAAAGGAATATTTAAAATAATCTTATGATTTGAAATCATAGTAGTAAAAATTGAATGTAATTAATACTTCAAGAAGTAGATAAGTAATCAAAGTGTTATTTCACGATTATTTTATTATTTTTCGATTTTTGTATAGCATAAACTTCATCATCATTCTTGGTTTTAGTGGATAGGCCGGAAAGTGGAAGTAGTATAGTGGAAGTCACTTAGCTATGTTAAGTTTATTTATTTAAATGTTTTCATCACTAGTGTTATTTACATTGTTGTTTCAGACCTTTTTTTCATAGATTTTTTATAGATGTTCAGTCTTCTTAAAAAAAAAAAAACTATAAACATACTTAAAGATTGACTCATAAAATTAATTTAACATTCTTTTCCTGTTTTACAAAGTTTTTATTTAATGTAGTTGATATAAAATATATTTTCATCGTATAAACGATTAGAAATTCATTGATAGTTACTCAGTTATTTTATTTAATATTTAATCTACCATGATATATCTCAATGCCTCATCGATGCCGCACTGGAGTCGAAATCACATAATTAGCGCGAACTAAAAATATTCTTTACAGATCAAATTTCAAATTAAGACTGCTTCATATTTTCGTGAAAAGGTAATATGAAATATACACATTTTATCGGCTGATGAGCAATGATTTACAGGTAAATAATTTATTTTCTATCAAGAAAAAAAAAATCTATGAGTAAAAGTGCTTAAATGTTTATCGAATTGAGTCCTGAGAGTTGGTGAAGGTCTAAGGTGAGGGCTAGAACTTGGAACTGGAAAATGGGAGTTCTGTGCCTTACCCAATCTCTATTTAATTTGCTTCCATCCATTTCTGTTTTCTTGTTAATTATGATTTAAAAGAAAACTCCAAAAAAGGTTTGGTTCTAATTTAAAACTTTTTAAAATGTGCATGTACTGTAAATCTATAATATTTATGAAATTATTTTCTAGAACTATATGTAGTCCACCTGTAGTGGCCACGTGATAGGAAATATATTACAATATTACATTATTACATAACGATACTCTGTGCTAGCATTTCTCTAAGACTATGTTATGTATAAGTTGCTTGTACATAAAATAATAATTGTGATTCTTTGGCTCAGTCGACTGCCAGTTTCCTGAAGGTTCCTTCAATTCCGTAAGTGTTCTGGGAGTCTGGAGGGCGCTTCTTCTCGTCTGAGGACTGCCTTGTGGATTTCAGGAACCATTCCCTATTTTCTTCCAGTTGGTCCAACCAGTAATCTAGAAAATAAATGCCCAATTGAACAAAAATAATTCTAATAATCTAAATTCTAGATAAAACAAGTAACGTTATTTGAATTTAGATTTGTTTTGAAAGAGACAATGTACAGCCAAATCATCTAGTACAGACCGTAAGAGTGGAGAGGGTATGAATATCGTGTCGCTCCCTCTCCCTTCTTCTCGCAATACTTTGAGGCAAATGAATAAATAAAATATGTAAACTGAAATAGCTTTAAAAAAAAAAAACAAAAAAAAAAAAACCTTAAGAAAAGTCAACTACCTAGTTAGGCAAGGGCCTAATAGTAGGAATGGCCTAGTGTAGGTATATCGATGCCTAAATATTACTTTTATTTAAATTATCATTTATATTCAAATATAATGATATACAGGGTTTCCCGCATAAAGATGGAAATATTTAAACAGGTAATATTGCTCTTTATAAGAAATTTTTGTCTAGTTTACAATGAATCAATTCTTAATTAATTATATTAAATTATGATTTAGTCCTCGCTTCCTATTCATCAAAAACTATGGCTTATTTAAAAAAAAACAACACAAAACTTAAATTTCCTACTATTATGCTGAAAATCGGACTATTGTTTTTATGAACTTTTTTGGTAGCTCTTGAGGTATACCACTACTTGTTTAAATATTTTCCTCTTCTTACGAGACACCCTGTATATTATTATATTTGAATATAAATGATAATTTAAATAAAAGTAATATTTAGGTATCAATGTATATCAACATATCCTAGGATTTTAACCACCACTCTATTTTCACGTTATATTCACAATATTCATGGCGAACTAGTCGGACTGTGGAAAATCTTGTATTTTTTTATTTGAGGTTGCACACACGAAGAAATCAAAAATATTTTTTACTTGTATAAATCATTTATTTTTAGCTGAAAAAGTAATAGAAATGTACCCACGTTATGAATGCTGTTGCTGCTTTTCTCTGTACTTAGTTTGAACAAATACAGAATATATTCAATCGATTTTTTTTAAAATATATATTTTCAAGTTTATATAATAAGTAAAACATAAAAAAATAAAAATCCTTATAACTATACAGACAAAATAAATTTTAAATATTCATAATTGGTAATTGGTTGACTGTCGTGGATAATGAAGAGAAGAATAGTTGGGGTGCTCAGTCAAAAAAGGAAGGCAAAAATAAATTATAATATTTATTTTTTACATCTGCCGACGTTTCGACCTGAAGTTCAGGCCATCATCAGGGCTAAGAAAATAACCAGATAACAAGGTATGAGAAACTTAAGTAATGATGGAAAAAAACATAAAACAAAAAAAAAAATATGAGAAAATAAAATAGATTAGATCTAGATAAAATAGATCTAGATAAAAGAAAAATAAAATAGATAGATATAAAGTAAAATAAAATTGTTAGAATAATGACTAAGAACTAAGAGATAAATAATACAGACTGTTACATAGCGTGGAATGATGAAGTAGGCATAATCAAAAAGGGGGTGACAAAAGTGTTACATTGGGAATCTTAGAATAAAATGTAAAAACATAAAAAAGAAATATAAAGTTATATAAGAAATGAGAATAAAATAAATAGTAAAAAGAAAACATTGAGAATGGAGTAGTTTGATAGAAAATTGAGATATTGTAAAGTCTATCAAGATGTACAGACAATGTATAATATAATAGAGAGTTAACAACAGAGAAAAGGAATGAAAGGAAGGAGGGAAGAAATTGAGAAAGCTGAAATAAGAAAGAAATAAAAGAAGTAGTACCTTTCTCCTAAAATGTCAAAGTGAGAATGAAGTCGTTACAAAGAAGGTGGAGAGAGAAGGGATGTGGAGGTGGCGTCATCTGTAACGGTTATCGGACGAAGCTAGAACTAGAAGAATGCTAGTAGAAGCCTAAATAGTTACGAGAGATATATTATGTAGAAAAATTATGGAATATTGAACGAAAGTTAATAGAAAGTGAAAGTGAATATATATATATATGTATATATATATATATATATATATATATATATATATATATATATATATATATATATATATATATATATATATATATATAAGGGAGTTGTCAGCAAAAAGGAAAGGAATATAACTATGGATGTTTTAATAAATTCAGAATTTGGCTATAGGTTAGAGAAAAGTTGTTTTTGTCAGCTTTAAGATTCACTGTCTTTGGTTGAAGCTGGATGTGGAGGGTTTCAGAAATGAGTCGTTTGTCATGGTTGAGAACAGTGGCAAGGATGGATGTTTTGTCGAAGTCAAATGAATGATTGAGGGAGAGAGAATGTTCGGATAATTTGGAAGCGGTGAAATTACGAGAGGATACAGAATATTTATGTTGGGTTATGCGGTCTTTTAGGAGATTTTTGGTTTCACCAATATAGGATGAAAAACAATTGGGGGTAGAACATGGAATACGGTAAACGATATGAGAGCGGTGTGAGAGAGGAAGAGGATCTTTTAGGGATGTGTATAATTTCGAGAGAGTGTTGTGAGATTTGAATGCAAGTCGTAAGTTAGGGTTAGTGGATCGTAAAACTTTGTTGATGTTGTCTGAAAGGTTAGGAATATAAGGTAGAGATCTGTATATAGGGGCTGAAATGGGTTGTGGAGAATTAGAGAAAGTTGAGATTAAGGAAGAGCGATTATTGTGGTCCGTTATAAGTTTGTTAATGACATGGAGAGGAAAATTATTGTTTGACAGGATCTGTTTTATGCGTTTGGTATTGGTAACATGAAATTGGGGATCAGAGAGGGAGAGACTACGGTGGATGAGGTTTTTCGCAACGTTAATTTTTTGGTGGTAGGGATGTTTGGAATGGAAATTTAGGAGTCTGCCAGTGTAAGTTGGTTTGGTGTACCAGTCTGTGGATATGGTGTTATTGGGATTTTTAATGATTAGAAGGTCGAGAAAAGGGAGAGAATTATTGAGTTCGCGTTGTACTGTAAAATTGAGGCGGGGGTGGTAAGAGTTAAAATGTGATAGAATATCAGGAATTTTGTTTGGATTGATGATTAGGAGGAGGTCGTCTACGTATTTCCGAATAAAGATGATGTCGTCAGGGTAAAGAGGGATAATGGTGTCTAGAAGATCATTGAGAACGATGTTCGAGATGTCGGGAGCGAGGGGGTTCCCCATTGCTAGTCCAGAGATTTGGTTAAAAAATTGTCCTTGGAAAGTGAGGTAGCCTGATTTACAGCATAGATGAAGGGATTCGAGATATGAGGAGCGGTTAAGTGAGGTGTGAGGTTCAATGATGGTCCAATTGTCGTCTATTATAGTAAGTGCCTTGTCTATGGGTATGTTCGTAAATAAACTATCAACATCGAAGGAGCATCATTATATTTGTTCGTTTCGAAATAATTATGTTAAATTTTTACAAATAATAAAAACTCCAGCCAATTTTTATAGCCATACTATTATATACAGTATAAGAATAAGAAAAAATGCCAAATTTTACCCAATTCTAATGAGCAGTTTAAGAATTATGCTCGTTTGAACTTTTGAAGTGTTTGTAGTTCGGAAAACAATCTGAGCTTCAGACATTTTAGAGGGTAGGCAATTTGAGTCTATTTTTGTTCTTTGGCATGTAAAATCAATACTTACTGCGCTAGAGCTTTTAAAATTTAATGCAAAAATCAGATGATACTATAAATATTAGCAATGAGATTTTACATCATGATTAAAATGAGTCTTAAACATAAAAATAGATTCATTTTCAAATTTGTTACACTATCATTACAAATATATGTAGCAAAAATCTCTCTACAATATTCCAATACAACCACATATTACTCAAAAGAGCATAGAGCTTCTCTATCTGATAAGAAAATAATATTAGTGGGGTTTCAAGTTTCAAGAGGTTATAAGAGTTGATTATAAGATGATTATAAGAGTTATATAAGATTTGATTTATTAAATACACTAAAATTAAATTTACAAGTTAAATATACAAGTAAATATGGTCGAAATATCTCTCCAAATATTCTAGTTCACGCAATAATACTAAAAAAAGCATGAAATTGTCTATTTAAGCAAGAAGATGCGTTTGGACATGTAGACCCAGTACTAGAGTTAGAGTCAGAGAGCAAATGTTACTTAATAAGGATAATCGAAATCTTTTAACCAATTGTTTTTTCTTGGTCAACACAACATATTTCATGGTTCCAAAAGCAAACAAATCGTCATTATGATAATGGAAAACTTTGAATTCATGGTCAAGCTAACAAGACAAACTAAATAATAACAGCCCGGACACAAAACTTTCAAACTTTGAAATTACATAATTGTTTTTAAATAACCCATTATCAATGAACACAGAAATTTGTGAATCCTATCAGAGCTCATGAAATGTTAAGTAATTTTTTTCACGTAACCATAATGGAGAAAATAAAAAGAAATTATAGCAATATCCAAAAAAAATCAGATTGAAAAGAAGTCAAAAGAAAGTGTAACAGCAGGAAACAGAAAAATAATAAATACAAATTAGATATATACAATTAGAAATAAGAATATGAAATAAAAATTATAGTTGGAAAATTACTTCGGGATTGCATACACAGTTAAAAACATCAATAATAATAATCAATCATTATATTTTGGATCGACATTTCGACCTAAGTTTCAGGTCTTTATCAGAAAAGTTGTACGAATGATGCGCACGAGCTTTATTTAAACTTTGTGGTTAGATGCGCAAAAAAAAAAGAGAAGTATGAGACTATTTTAATAATGCATATCATATCATAGGTCAAAATGTACAGTCAGAACTCCGGCCAAAGCACCATAAATGAAGCAATTGATAATCCTTAGCATCTGTCTCCAAAATAACTTCATATGAAGTGATGAAACGTAAGATTGCCTAAATTATTTATTATCGTTGTGTGGACCAAATGATATACCAGATAAAACAAGCCTAATTTCAAAATGAATAAAAAATAAATTAAAATAAAACTCCACGTGAAGCCGTTATAAAAGCGGATGGCTGGAATTAAATATCATAACTGCTAAAAAAAAAATAGCAATGGAAGTAAACATAATTGCTTCAAAGCAGAGAGGAATTTCAGAAATATAAACTCTAGAGTTTAAGACATTAGAGTATAAAATTCTTTCTCATGGTAAACTAAAAAAAAAACTTGTGACAAATAAAGGACAAACAAGAATTTTTTCAAGAACTTGATTTTTCAATACTTTCTACATTGATATGAAAACCAGAAGTATTTGTATAATTAACGAAGGCTACTTGTAATATATTGGAAAGATTTAGCAGGATACCGAGATACAGAAAAAATAAATAAATAATTATGTTAATTAAATTAAGTTAATTAGATGAGTATATACACTTAAGAAGAATACATATAGTTCTAATATTTCGGATGATTTCTGGTTACCATTTAGTTCTGCTGAAGATTTGTCATTGCCTCCGTAATCGGAGGGCAGCATTTCTAATGGCATGTAGTCTTTTAGGTTTGACGCTCCATCCTTGAAAACTTTTATCTAAAAAAAAAAAAAAAAAAAATAAGAAGAAAATAAAACTTATAAGAAATGACTTTATGAACAAAGGAAAACATTGTTATGTATAATAAAAGTATTTAATTCGAAAACTAATTTTAAATGTGTTTTATAATGGTATATTGACTGATTTTATATGCAACATATATTATGATACATACATATAAACTGTACCACTACAACCCATGAAGAATATTGGGTGCAGTACTATGTGAGGAAGTACTGTTACTAGGCCAACAGTTGTGTAGGGAGGTGACGGGGCCGATATCACGCTCAACCGCCAGGTTTTTCTCCTTAATTATTTTTTATAATTAAGAGTACCCACTTTATAGAGGCTGTGTGTGCCCCAGGAGCACGGGCGGATCTACAAGGGAAGGGGGGGAGGGGGCTTTCGGGCTAAAGCCTCCCAAAATGCTAAAAAATAACCATGTTTTATCGAAAAAAATATTAAAAAGGTATCTCTTAAAGTATTATTGTTCGTGTAATTACATTTACAAGGGCTTTAGGAATCACTTAAACACCATTTCATACAGGTAGTTAGCTTCTTTCTTTTTTTCCAAAGTAATTATCGTTATTTTTATGAAAAAAAAAACTTTCGGGCTGAAGCTCTCCAAAATTGAATCCTGGATCCGCTAGTGCCCAGGAGGGTCCCCCGATCCCAGGATCGATCCACGGCTAATGAAAAATTACTAGTCATCAGCCGGATTCGAACTCAGGACCTTGAGCTCTGGAAGTCAGTGCTCGCCCACTGAGCCACCCAACTCCAAAACATACATATATTATACAAAATTATTACCCATCAATGTCTTGCCAATATCTTTTTAGCTTGAACTATGGAAGGAAAGACTGTATTTTCTGGTAGAAGTGATCACACCACAACCAGTTATAAATGTATTCATTCAAATGTTTTATCTTCATTTATGATATATTTTTCAGAATTGCAACTGATTGTCAAAAAACCTATCTATGGTATTACTCGAATTGTATATTTTTTTATACATACTATTAGTGGCTGATCATTATTAAATTTAATGTGGGTGCTCTTCTAAATTATTTTCAGCCAATGTTTGTGTTATTCGAGAAATAGTATATTGAATTTCTTATGTAGGTTTTTTATGAGATTTTTCCTACAGTATAAAATGGATTTCAATCTACTAAACAACATTCATACCACTAATATGTCATGTATAAGGTTACTGCAACCACAAACATGGAATTTATCATTTTGAGATGATGTAATGTATATATAAATAAATAAATAAAAAGTATATTGAATAACCACTTTTTTTATCTCTAATATTCTCATGGAGTTACATAACATCTATATTTGTTTATTTTATTTTACTATTTTTTAAATATTGGAAATCTATAATATCTGAGGCATTCTTAGAATAGTATTTTCGAAAGGATATTATTTTAAAATTTCATTTCACTTTCTGAATTATTCAATTTGTATGTGTGTATGCACGGAATATCATTTTGAGATTATATTGTATACATAACCTAATCATTGTTTGGTTTGGTTTTCAATCGTAAATATCAAGAATAGGATCCCACATTCTTAAATATATTGCCACTTACAAATTAATCAATGACACAATATAATTTTGTTTATTCAATCATAGTTACCCTGTTAAATAACTTAGCTTTCAGCACGGGCTTAACCAAGTGGTTAACTATAAAATCAAGTGAGGAAGGAGCGTTGATACAAAAGCATCCATGCATCTTCATGGGGTATCCATCCTGGAAATTGTTAAAATAATAATTATTACTTAGATTATCGTAAAGTTCTAGACAAATCATTAGACTTTTTTTTTCACTTAGTCTGATTTTTTTTTTATCAGAACTAAATAAATATTCAATATTGATATTTTCATTTATGCACTAATGTTAAGAGCATTTCAATATTTACCATTTAAGCTATATAAATAGTAAAATCATCTATTTTTTAAACCTATTTTACTGAGCATTATAACATTCTATTACAATATCAACAATACAGTGGTGGATTGTCCGCTTATAATAATGTGTTTAATTTGAAAAGCTTATTTGGACATTGTCATTTATAGTACTGGACATCAAGAGAAAAATGGAGATATAATAATTACTTCCTAGAGCCTGAAAATCGTTTAGACCAAAGTTAGAAAAATATAAGTCAACTACTTACAAAAATTTAGGAAAAGTATAGCGAAAATAATCAATTTGTTAAGAAAATGGGAAAAATTAATGACAAATAAATACAACAGTTAAAGATTTTTTTTTCTATTAGTGAAATGTTATTTCCACTTTTTTTTTTTTTAATTTATTGCCCACTTGACTATTTAAAGAAAAAATAGTTGAAAATGGTTTATAAAAATATTAACTAGGGATATAAAAAACTATTTACTTTTATGAAATTATTTATTTAAACATCAGGAATGTACAGTGGTTGTGAGGCCTAGGTAAACTAACCTATCTAGTAGTAAGATTAATCTCATAGAAAACCGATTTGACAAAAGTAAGTAAAATATAAGTCTACTACTTACAAAAATTAAGGAAAGGTTTTGCGAAGTTACTAATATAAATTGTATATTAGTTTGCTCATGTTTTAGTTGTTAGTTTGATTAGTTTAGTTCTTTTGTTTCCGTAGATTTACTTTTAATAATATTATTTTTCTATATTATTTATTGTAAATCGAGTGTGAATCTGCTCTGTGTATACTATCATAAATTTCCTTAATTGTGACAAATTGTACTATTTCTGAACACAGGCGGATCTACGGGGGTGGCTTTCGGGCTGAAGCCGCTTCCCCTCCCCCCAAAAAATGGAAAAATATAACCATGTTTTACAGAAAAAAATATTAAAAACTATCTCTTAAAGTATTCTTGTTAGTTTAATTATATTTAATAGGACTTCAAGAACCACTTAAGCACCATTTCATATAGGTATTTAATTTCATTATTTTTTTTCTAACTAATTATCGCTATATGTATGTGAAAAAAAAAATCTTTCGGGCTGAAACCACCTCCCAAAATTAAATCCCGGATCCGCTAGTGTTTCTGAATAAACAAGGTCATCTGTAAAAAAAAAAAAAAAAAAAATTCGGTATGATTTGAATATTTATTTTGATTTTTTTTTCTGTTATTTTGGGAATGGAATTTTTTCCCTTGCGAAATTTAAAATAATGGTTTGACAGAAATATATTTTCAAAAACTTGTTATTTAAAAGTTCTATTGATTTTGTCTATAAAAATGCTTCTATTTTAGACTAATCAACAAACGACACATTGGAATCATTTAAGATGAATTCTAATTCTAATCTAGGCTCAATTACTGTTTATTTCTCATGTAAAATAACTTTTGTTAAGACCAAAAATAACTTTTGTTCAATTAAAATAACTTTTGTTAAGACCAAAAAAAAAAAAACTTTCACCATAAACCTAGAACTTTATTTAAAAAATGTTCCTTAGATTATATATTTTGAAAAGCTTTTTTGCTAAACAGTTTTCACAGAAATTATTAAAATGGGTCTTATTAAAAAGCATAAATGTTTCGACTTCTGGTTTAATCAAAACCCAGCCCGGTACAAACATCGATAAAAAAGAAAAAAGGTTTTCATGTTGTTTGTATATGATTTGTGTACGTATATATCGGGTGGGCTTATGAGTTCAATTAATTAACATGTTGTACGCTTTAGAATCTGTGAGTATACTAAATTAACTCATTTCTTAAGAATTGAGCAGTTTTACATAATAGAAAGATGATTCGCTTTGGATATCATGCGATATCGAATTTATGTCCAAACGACCAGTTTTGCATGATAATTATGGATTATTCACGAGACTCACCTGAAAAGAACCCAAAACAGCGGCAACGACGGAGGGATTTAACATTGTAAACGCCGTGGCAGGCAACTTAGCACAGTCAAAGACGGAGTAACCCCCGGCTTCACTCGTATTATTCCACTGTTTCATTCGTAGTTCCAGCAACATCAACATTCGCGTCGCTTCGTGCGGGTGGTCAAATACTTTGCTAAAGCAATCGTTTAATGACACAAAATACACTGTGTGACCCTCAGGAGTGTCATTTGTCAAGTAGAATTGGTTCCTGTTCAATAAAAAACAAAAACAACTAATTAATAAAAAAAAAACAGACGAAATTAATTATACGTTGTTTTTGGAAGATTCAAAAATATACCCTCGAGTCTCTCAAAAAACAGAAATAAGCAAACAATGTTTCTCATTTTCAGGCACCATCAATCAGGATTGAAAATCGCAAAACCTCTAAAATGCTAATCAGAGATAGCACATCTCACCTTGACAACTTTCAAGTAGTCTTTATCAAAATATTTCAAAAATCGTAAACACATCCGTGACTCGTCCGTTGAGGCTGTGTTTGCGCCATGTTCCCATGTGGATCTCTGTGAGGAAAGCACGTGGTTCCAATCAGCAGATTATTGGAAGCCGCAAAATTTATCAGGCGCTTCCCATTTTCATTTGATCTGTGATGTAGGCTATATTGACTGATAGTGGGCTTGTATACAGGCTCTTTTCCCATTTGGGCGATGTAGTCTCCCATTACAATTTTCATGTCATAGCTGGGACACTCATCATACCATTATTTGAGCTCCTCGTAGAAAATATCTTTATCTTCATCATTAGAGACCTCGATAGGAGCATTAGCACATATTAAGCTAAAATTATAGAATTTACATCTAAGTCGCAATCTACATAGCCTGGGGCTAATGGGTTTAAAGTCTTATAACAAGTGGGGCAAGTCTCTTTTCTATGACAAATCCTGTGCCAAAAGTATGGAGGCGATCATCACAGCTGTAGTAGATGGTGTGTTGTCCTTTCTTGAAACTTCCATTTCCGGTCCATCTTATTTCCTGAATGTCTATTGTTGAATAATCGTTTAGGGTGTCCAGGAGGGTTTGAAGTGCTCCGGGTCTATATAGTGATAAAATATTCCAGGTGGCTAAACTATAATCCATTTGACGGTTCCTATGTCGTTTTCCGATAATCAGTACAGCACATCGTTGTTGAGCTTTTTTGATGAGGTTATTTAAGGGGAACAGGGTATCAGCCTGCTGCCACCGAGTCAGGTAGAGGGGCTGCCTCCTCAGAGCTTCCTGACTAGGTCCCCCTTCCGGGCCAGTGGCTGATTGCAGTCTAGCGACTGGGCGATGAGGTTCCCACTTCCCGACGCCTAAATAAAATATAGAATATTATGAACGGATTTCGTTTTTTTGCGTCACCACATCAAAAAAAAGCAATGTTTGTAACTGCCCTGGCTCAACGTACAATTGTCAATTCTATACTTGGAATATATTAGATCTGTTTAATAGAGATGTGCTATTTCTCTTATGTCTCTGGTTCAAGTAAACGTTTCGATATAATGGTACTTACATCTGGTAACGTTACATATATAGATTTTATTTTGTAATATTTTAGAAACTAAAAGGCTTTATTTTGGAATCATCCAATATTATTTACATTATTCAATGTTAGTATTGGAATTACACATGCAATTATTCAACTCTCCAAGCTTCATTTTTTATTCATAAATATAATATCAACTTATTCCAAGTTGAAGATCAATGTGACTGATAATCAAGGTCGTAGGCAGAAGATGGAGCAATTATTGGAAAGTGGGGATAGGCAATTATTATCAAGATAGGAGAGTTTTTTTTTTTTTTTTGTTATTAATTTCTCGCAGGATTTTGAAATACCAACAACCAACATGTCATAGTTAATATATTTTTTAGAACTTATTTATTTTTTTTTTTTACTAATTTATTTTGAAGATTTTCCATCTTGGCTGCTACACTACCTTGACCCCCGATGGATCCATAGCAATAATGAACTGACATGACATTCCTTGTAAACAGTTTATTGTTGTTGTTTTGTTGCTTTTATTGTAAAAATATGATAAAATCGTCTTGAAGAATTTAGAATAATCCAAGAAGAATTGAATGTAATAATTATCACAAAATCTGTATTGAATAATAGTGTAATTAAACTGACATGAATATGGTCAGTGTTCACCCGGAAACGTAAAAAGCTAATAACTTACCAATATTCCTGGTAACTTATTATCACTAGTAATAAATTAAGTTAACTCAGATTAAATTAAATTAAGTTGACACAAAAATTTTTTCTGATTAATTTTCGAAGAAAATATTTTTTTTTTTCAACCACGCAACCAACATTAAGTTAAATGAAAGTGATCTAAGAGAAAAAACTAATTTGGGGAAATATATAAAAACATTCGCAGTCACTCAAATTATTACCAAATTAAGCTAAAAAATTGTTCCTAATAAATCTTTAAAAAAATAATCTTAATTAACAAATTTTATTAGAAATCATTCATATTTCCAATCATACAATCAAGTTTAAAATAAATTAGGCTTGTTCAGAAAAAGCGATTATATAGCCAAAATACAACTGTTGCAGCAAAAAAAAAAAAAAAAACTGTTCAGTATCCCCTATTTAGTTTTCTTTATAATATCCCTCTATATAACAACTGTTTACGTTTACTGGATCATTCATTTGTATGAATGTTAACAATTATTAATCCTCTTCCAAACGGTAATGTTTGTTTATTTTTGTAGCATTTCGCGATTTAGAAATAATTCATTCTTAACTAAAATGTCAACTCGTGATTTTCGGATCATTTTGTTATACGAGCTTAAACTCGGCCGGTGTGAGATCTAGAGAGACAGAAATATCAATCAAGTCTAGGGCAACAGCATTAGTAAATGCACTGTACAACGGTAGTTCAAAAATGTTCGTGAGGGAGTCTTCATCCTTGAAAACAAAGAAGATCGTGGAAGGACTTCCTCTCTTGATGACGATGTTTTGTAAAAGAAAACCCAGAACAACTGTTCGAGAACTTGCACGAAAACTTCAATGCAAATCGATCGTCGATGACCACCTCAAGGCGATTGAAAGGTAAAAAAGCTTAAAAGTTGGATTTCACACAAACCAAAGGTACCAGCGTTATGAAGTTTGTGCTGCACTTCTTTGCAGAAAAACAAAAACAACCCTTTTCTGTCCAGAATTCTTACTGGTGATGGATGGAAATGGATACTTTACGATAACAAAAGATGATTTCGACATAGGTTCAACAAAGGAGAAGCAACAGAACATTTTCTAAAGTCACTAACTCAACAAAAAAATATGTTGATTATTCTTTAATGGTATTCCTCTGGTTTGATACACTACAGCTTCTTAAATCCTGGAGAATCAATGGCAAATCGTATTGTAACCAATTTATGCAATGCATCAGAAATTGGCAATAATGAACCCATCTTTTGTCAATCGGAACGCTCGGCCACACGTGTGACGTAACAAAAAACTTGAACATGAAACTCTGCCCCATCCACCCTACTCTCCGGACCTCTCGCCTTTGGATTATCATATTTTCAGACACCTGCACTACTATATACGTGACACAAAATTAAATAGAAAAAGGGAATTATAAAATGCGTTTTTGGAATTTTTCACTTCTAAAGATGCGAAATTCTATTCCGAGGGAATGGAAAAGTTTCCAACACGTTGGTGGAAATGTATTGATAGTAGTGGAGACTATTTTGATTAAATAAAACAGTTTTAAATCTTTCTTTTTTCTTTTTAAACTAAAATCCTGTATTATTTTCTGGACAATCCAATATAACCATATGGTTTCTGGTTTCCTTAAACGGTTTTAAATTATCTCTCTCAAAACATTAACTACTTTCAAAATTCGTTTAACGAATAAAATATATATGTCCTGATATAGCTTCTATACTCTTAGTAAAGAGAGTACTGCAAAGTAAGCCTCTTAACCAAAATGCTTCAATTATTAAAATATTTTGCAATACCTACATGTTTTCTGGTATTTATAAAGTGTATTAAATTAATTACCCCAAACCATTAACTACTTTCTAATATCTACATATTGTAAGAAAACGTTTTTACTATACATACCGCTGTCAAATACTTACACAGCCTTAGATTTCTCCCTGTATTGTGCATTCACAGTTCTAGTTACCTCATCGTAAAGTCTCACCGCCCTGTTACGATTTGAGAAATAGGCATCCAGCTTACGTTTGGCTATCTCTAGGCTTTTCGTGCCGCAGACGAAGGCCAGCAGGATAGAATACTCTAGGACAGAAATGAGTTTTATTGATATAAGAATATGGTATGAATATTTTTCTACATTATTCATAGTTCTAAACCAGAGACAGGATTATTAAGCAGTCTATATCAGAAACCTTAATAACGTAGATATTATTCACCAAGATAGTTGGGCAGAGACGGAAGGATTGGATGAGTCTAAGGAACCAACAGTCGCAAGTGATCAGCGAACCAAATTAATTTTTTGAATCGTATTTATGTGTTGTCACTTGTAATATTCCTGAACTGGTCGTTGGTAATACGTTATAGTAACGAATGTGTATTTTCTGAATGTAAATTTTCCATTATGATTATTCGTTATTCTAATAAGTCATACATATCTAAGTAGCCATAAATTCGTAAAAGTGAAATTGCTGATTCCGGTCTTCTGTTTTCCGTTCAGATTCGACATTTTGCCTTAAGGTGGATCTTGGAGTACTATGGTAAACGAACGGAATTGAAAAATGTTATTTTTCACATTTGACACATTAACATGGTACCGACGATATTTTGTATTGTATTGAGATTAATTAAAACTGAGCAGATAGTTCCCGCTTCTCAACTCAGCATGTCTGAGCCAGTAGCGCATCCTAAATTGCCAGACAAAATTGTGTATTGACACTGTTTAGACAAATTTTCAATTTTAATTTAATAAAGGCAAATAACTCTAATGAGTTCAAAATAGGCAATATTCAACTTATTTGACAATTTGACTTATTTATCAAGTGGACTGTATTTTGATGAAATGGTAGATTATATGAGTTGTGTACTGGGGTGATCTAATCCAGGTTATCCAAAGGCTGATTGCCAATATTACAAATAGGACACGAATTGAGAACGTTTTCAACTCGTAACAGAAGAGTATAAAATTCATCATATGTTAACGCATGATCCTGGAGAACGGCAAGAAGGTGTCTCTTAGCGGATAATAGCTGCCTCCCAAATATCACCAAAATCAGGAGATGCTGTAGGATTAAAGGTCCACTTTAGTCCGACTTAAATGGTTAGAAATGGGTTCGCTTTGGCCATAACAAATTGATAAAGCTCCTTCAACTTCACTATGATTATGTAAAGGCAAATCACGTCTGTCAATAAATCTGTCTAATGTGGCAATAAATGAAGGACTGATAGGTCCGTCACAAGTGCTAGATGGAAGGCCTTGGTAGACATATACACAAAGAGAGCTAACCAACATCTCGACTTAGGAGCAATGCGCTTGCTGGAAATCTTCATAAAAAGGGGCAGCCATAGTCTATTTCACTCGCTGAAAGGATCTACCCTCGGTCACTCTGAAAGACGGTAAGTCACTCATTTCTGGAGTCTGTGGATTCGCATTATTTTTGTGGCATGTAACGCATTTATAAATCCGGCTTCTAATGAGTTTTCTCAGAGAAGAAGTCCAAAATTGGCGATAAATGAGCGACTGGACCAACAGGGTCCCACTATAACCAAAAGGGGCAAGGAAGACCTGTGGTAATGGTCACACAAAAGGACTGCGCAATAGACTCACCCTTTTATGCAGGCATAGACATCTTACTTAACTGAGAGGACCCTGCTATAGTTCATACCTCTGTGAATTCGTGGAAAGAAATGGGTCGAGTGCTTCTTGCAACTGGCGCGGATTAAATTTTATCTTTTAGATCTTATCTGATAATAGGGTAAGTGATCTTCTCTTAGCTATACGATCATATTTATTATGTCACTAATCAAAATTTTATTACATATCATTTGACTAGTTCAGAGATGGCCGGCAACCTGATAACCAAGTTACAGACGACAAAATAATTACCACTTCACGCCCTGGTGCCGAGAGGCATTTCAACTCTGGCATTAATCCCCCGCCTTCGCCCCCTGACCCGGGAAAACTTCGGTATAATCTAAAAGGCAAGGAAGTGGACAAACATTTTAAAAAATTGAATAGTTGAGAAATATAACAAATCATCAAAGAATCATTGCAAAATTAATGAAGATCTAATCGTAGTAAATCTACTAATAAGTAATTTTCCACTTACAAAGATCTTTTATTTATTTACCTCTTATTCCCTATCCGTTCCTTTTTCTTTTGACAATAAGAGATTCTATTTTTATTTTATAAAATGCTAAAATTTTGTCATCCTTATCTTGTTATGCCTCTGTGGGATTCGATGTGTGATGGATGCCTTACTTCCATTTCGAAACGGCCTATGCCAAGTGTTCATTTAACTCGTATTCGAAGGCTTCCTTGGTCGGACAGTTTACTGCAGACACGAGTTGAGGATGATTATCTTCGCTTTTATTTATTAGGGGCTCTAGAGATAACTTGCAATATATGAATACATATGTCTCCACGAATTCCCTAACTTCTTGGAATTCAAATGCTTGTTTCCATTGAGCTTGTTGCATAGGCCTTGTTATTGAAATAAATTTACTAGTCTGTCTCCATCATTTATTAATACAGGATAAACTTAACTATTTGACATTACTGTTTATAGGTGATGTTACTTGTTCTAAATATATACAATAATGGAATAGTTAATGACTCACCAACATCGTGAGGGAGGTGGGGCTGCTTGTCGAGCCAGTCCCTCAGCCGTTGCACGTCCTCTTCCACCGCCTCCTTGCTTCTCTTGTTAGAAATCTCTCCAACCATCGCTCAAGTTGAGATCCTTTAGAATTTCCTACAAATAAATTCACGATTTATAACAAATATAGAAGTAATTAATTAAATAGGTAAATAATACATCTAATTATTCCTAATTGAAAATAAAATTAAAATCTTTCATAATTAATTATAAATTGTTATTGTCTATTAGTTGGTATTGAAAGTATATAATAATAATTCATGTAAATTTATTTAAATTTAAATATTATTATGAAAAATCATTCAAAATAAAATAAAGAATAGAAAAATTAAAAACTTTCTTCATATGCAAGCCCCCCTACAGGTAATGACCAAATGACTTGAAACTAATGATGGAAGGGTCATCTTTAAAATATGTTGAATAATTGTCTTTGATTATAGGCCCTTAAAACAATTAATTTTATATTTCTTTATCTGAATTTGGGATAAAAAGATAATAGTTTTGTTTCAATATCTAATATTTCAAATATCTGTTCTGGAGTTGAATGTTTATTTCCTATTTAAGAAGAATATTTTTTATTACATTCAGCATCTTCTATTACAGTCATTAGCTGCACAAAACTTCATTAGAACATAAATAATATACACTGTAAGATTGATCAGTTCCATACATCCTTACAATTATGGGTACATTGATTAGATTAAATGAACAATTTTTATGGTTTTGATAAATTTAATTTCGTTTTGCATTCTCTAAAATTGCTTTAATTATGGAGAAAAAATAATGATTTTTTAGGTTTCTAATTATAGTCTATAATTTTTTACGTGTTTTATTGTACAAGTGACATAAGTCATTGTACAAGTGCTGTACAAGTGATGCATGATCCATTATGGGTAGTTCCAGTTCTCTTATTAGGGAAACCAAATGTGAACGATGTCCGATTCTCTGTCTTTTCAAAATGATTTCTTCTGATCTACACTTTCTAAAATAGGTTGTCCATGAAAGGATGTCCAGTTTACTAGCCACCAATATTTCTCGTTAGCAGTGGTAGTTTAGTTAAGTATAGTGGTCCAGTGTATTTTCACTCCAGCGAAGTTTCCAGCCTTGTTTTTTTTTTATTTTTTTTTTTTATAATATTAGAGAAATATCTTTCTCGACTTCGATGCGCCCATAAGCAGAGTTCTACATCCGATGTACTTGTTTTAATTCGGCAAACGAGCTTTTTTTTTTTTATCAGAATTATAGAATTTCTTCAGAGAGCTATGTGTCATTTTCTATGAAAGAGGTGTTCAATTGAAGGAATTCAGTGTCATATATTGTCATAATGTCCATTTTCAAGTCCAAGGGTTAAATTTTTTTCTGAGCTCTTACTGTTCTATCGACTAAGTTGTTCTCCTAGGCCCAGTTGCACCAACCAATGTTAAAATTTGCGTCAAATTGCTCTAAAGAATTTTTAAACTGAGTTAATTTACAAGGTGTTAAGTGTGATGTCATCGTATTTATGATGTCTAACAAGAACCTGTGATTGTAAAGGAACTTGTTGTCCGTGGTACAGACACCTATTTCAGAGGGATGTTAATAATTACGGACTCTTAGGTTATATTAGGAAACCTTCCGTCCTCTTGCGTGTAAACTTTGATATTTACAATTAACGAGGTGTTAAGTTATTTGATTGACTATCGCTTGTTAATTATTGTAAAGAAGATGAAAGAAAAAGAGAAAGAGGGATCATTTTTTTTTGAAAGTGAAAAACAGACTGATAATATTTAATAAGTCTTCATGTGATGATAAACTTTCTTTAGAAAAATATTCTTCATATGAAAACTCATTTGTAGTTGTCTTGAAAAACGTACAAAACAAAAACAGTACACTAGTATTCTCAGAAGAAGCAAATATTTGTTTGTTGTTAAAAGTAACCGTACGTAAGGTAACATCGTTTAAATATTTGATCAAAGTCTAACGTTGGTTTAGTTAGCTGTGTTAACTCAACTTGGTGTTAAGACTATTATGCAACGAAAATTCTGTTAACCAATGTTAAACTAATCAAAATTAGTAAAATTAAAGTTAACAACGGTCGATGCAACCGGCTCGTAGGGTGTATTAATGCAATGTTGGTAAACTCTGTATATACAGGATGTCTTGAAAGTACAGAGAAATATTGATAGAAGTGGTAGCAGGCCTCAAGCGCTACAAAGAAGTTCATCCAAGCAAGGGTCCAATTTTCAGCAGAAAAGTAGGAAATTCAAGTTGTTTTTTTCACTTAAATTATGTTTTTTGTTGAATAGGAAGCGATAACTAAATAAATATTTAATTTAAGAAATTTACAATTGTTTTAACTAGTGTTGCCCAAATGCGAGACCGAGGCGAGTCTTGGTCTTGGAGACTCAGTCTTGGTCATGGTCTTGGTCTTGCACAAGAGTCTCGCAACAGTCAGTTACTTATGAGCTTATTACTATAGAAATATTAGTGTAATTTTTATATAAAAGAAACCTGACTAATAAATGAAAAATTAGAGGAGTGAAATGGAAAGTATATTGCTTATATCAATTATTAACATATAGTAATTAAGATTGACAAGTATTATTGACTATTTTGCCTTAATTTTAGTTTAAAAAATCGATTTTTTTTATCAGCCCTGGTCTTGGTCTTGGAATAGTTAGGCGGTCTTTGGGCAACACTAGTTTTAACATAAATTAAACAAAATTTACTTTAAAAGAAAGCTGAGTTTTTCATGGTTAACAATATTTAAAGGGGACTGTTGAGCTCTCCAACATAAGCTATATTATGTTTTTAATAAAATCTTAAATTATTCTCTATTTTTTTATCATCATCCAACTATATTACACAAACCTCAATTTTTTGCATAATTTTCTCGTTTATTAAGCTTTAAGTTTATATTAATTAAGTTGATGTTGAGCAAAAACTTGAGATACACCTCAAGTTGTGTAAAAAAATTATCCAATTTTTTATTCTGTCATCTACAAGTACCTGTGTTTTTATTCTATTTCATTGAATAAGAGGAAGTTTTCCTAAAAGTGGGGCATGCATAATATAATTGGAGGGCGATAAAAAAAAAGCGCTAATAATTTATGATTTTTTCAAAAAGGATATTTAGCTTAATTTAGCCACTCAAAAGTACCGTTTAAATGAGGTTAAACATGACAAAATCTGCTTTCATGTAAAGTAAATTTTGTCTAGTTTATAATACAGCAATTGTTAATTTATTGAAGTAAATATTTATTTATTTATCGCTTCTAATCAACAAAAAACAAAACTTTCTTTTAAAATAAATCCATATCTGCTTATTTTAGGTGAATTTTTTTTTAATATTATAAAATAAGGCTGTGTTTTATTTCTTCATCATATTTATTTAAATTTAGCTACGTTTCGGCCGGTAAGCCATCTATAAGATAAACACCATTAATTTTATATTTTGATGCAATTCTACACTCTATGATGATGGTATTGGTCCTATTTAATTTAATATTCTATGAATTATAACCCTAATTACGTTAGGTCATTTCTTTTAATTCGTAATTAACACTACCAGTTAATGTGTAAATTAATAGTACCACTAGATAAAATGAGATTTATTCGAATTAATACTTATAATTTAATCTGAATTTGGAATACATGCAAAAAGTATGGTTGGATAATGTAAGGATGTTTTAAAATTTAAAATAATTTGTGTATGTTGATCTTGATATATCTGGATTTGAATAAAAAAGCAACCTCATTCTATCTAGTGATACTGTACACTATTGTTGGTAGTGTTAATTACAAATTTTAAAAAATTATTTTACCTAATTAGGTTTATAATTCATAGAATATTAAATTAAATAGGAGCAATACTACCATCATAGAGTGTAGAATTACATCAAAATATAAAATTAATGGTGTTTATCTTATAGATGGCCGAAACGTAGCTATATAAATTGAAATAAATATGATGAAGAAATAAAACACAGGCTTATAATATTTTTAAAAAAATACTTTAATTTTCTACTTTTCTGTTGAAAATTAGGCCATTGTTTATATAAACTTTTTTGTAGCTCTTGGTCTACCATCACTCCTATAAAAATGTTACTCCAACTTACAGGACACCCTGTATATAGTTCATGAACTCTCTTACTCCTTTTTCGGTACAGAATAAATACATTTTTTCTATCGGTCAATAACCTCTGTTCATTTCAGAAGCAGCCCCGATAATATTAAATGGCTTTAAGCGATATATTCTCACACTTTGTAAATGTAAAGTCCATCTCAGCCATGTATCAATATAAATACATCCGTAGAAAACGGGCATTTTATACGAATCCTAATTTTTTTTCCCAACATCAATAATATTCGGTTTTTAAAAACGGCTCCTTTGAAATTAACACATTTAAATTTAGTTTTTGAAAAACTAAAGACGATGATTGAAGTCTATTGATCTAATGTCTCCATGATATTTAGCATTTTCAATTCTATAATCTTTAAAGATTCATAAGTTGGTCATTATTAACCAATGTACAGATAACTGGTTTTCGAATACTCTTTACAATATCGTTTAGAGCTATTAAAAATATATTAGCACTTGAAACGGACTGTTGGGATATCTCATTTTCTTGGTTTAATGCAGTATATAATTTATCTCAAATTTAGATTTTTAACTCATTTACAGAACGTAGTCAACTTTAAAACAACTGTAGAAAGGAGCGGGGAGGACGAACAGGCTAACGCGTTGCACGTAGCAACCTGGTGATCATGATCATTTACGAATTCAAATTACGGTGTAAGGAAACTTTTTAAATCCGTCATGATTTCCCGCCCTAAACTCACCTGAAGGTGAGAAAAGAAAAACATTTTTACACTATTTTGAATTTTTGGAAACATTATTCACAAACTAACCTTGTCAGAAAATAAATTTCCTTTTATTTTATAGGTCAGTTTCTTAGTTGGATTTTTTCCTGCATGTTAAAAATAATCGTTAAGCCCGTTGACCATGGATCAACCAACTGACCTTGAATCAGACAAGCTCCCTAATCATGAAGTTTGAGAAAAAATTTAATTTGAAAAAACTCGATTAATTTTCAAAAATTATAAAATTATTTTTACTTATTTAATGCTTTCTTCTGAAGATGTTTTGTAAATATATGTTGGTGTTTTTTTTCGACCAAATATTGATAGTAAACAAAAATTTTGCAACAACTTACGACATTCTGTTTTTATTATTTTAAATATAATTAGTAAATTATTATTATAATAATTTTTATTCAATATTTGCCGCTTAAATTCTGTTAAAACTGTTCAGAATTTTGACAGGATTGAATTACTCGAGATCTTAAATGAAAGATGGTAAGATGAAAGGGGTGAAAGTAAATCAATGGTTTCCATTATTAGAGAAAAAAAAAGTTTTAGTAACTATAGAGATCTACAATTAAAAAAATGATAAAGATTTATTACATTTTTCTTATAAATTTTGACTTACTACTTTATACTTTAAAATATCCTATCACACCAAGTGTTTTTGTAAAATTGTGGCACAGAGAGCTAAATCCCAGCCAACTTAAAAAAATTTACACCCTCTCAAAATTCCAATTATATATTTTTTGAGCTGCAGTGCACTCCTTTTTTTCTGTTTTTTCCTACCTCGCCTTTTAGGCTATACGGGATTTTCCCGGGCCGAAGGGTGAGGGCGAGGAATTTATAATCCCCTCTGGCACCGAGACGCGAACTCGTTCAATTTCAAAACTCGGTTATCTGGTTGCCGGACAACTCGCGGTGCTGTGCACACACGTTAGCCCATTCGGCCATCCCGCCCTCCTTTGTCCAATAATTAACTTTAAATCTTGATGTGCCGTATTATTTCACATTTTTATTTTATTTTTTATAGTCATAAACTTGTCAATTTCCCATTGATGGAACGAATCTCATGAACTGTAAACAGAAGTTTTCGGGTAACGTCCAATGAGATCCATATTATTTTTCAAGGAAAACTAAAACAATGAGTTAAAATAAATTTTATTCTAGGATCCCTAGTCCCCCAAGGATTATACAATTGTATAATTCCAGAGACATTTGTCTGACTTCTGATAATAATAATGATATAATAAAATTATGAAATCAAATTATAAAATATAATTCTGAAACAATGAGCATAGCAGAAAAGAAATAGGAAGAAAATAATATTAATGAATAAGAAAATCCAAAGAAAAAATAGCGTTCTAAATGTATGAATATATGAGGGAGATTGATATTTGAAGAGATGGAGAAATAATTTGATGTTTTATATAATTATTTATTCCAGGGCAAGGTATTCTAGAACGAGGTCATCCGAAGGGGGTCTTGTTAAAGAGAGTGGACAGAGGAACATAAATTGAATTTATTAAGGATGTAATGAGGAGTATAATGATTAAAAGATGTTGAACAGATTAATCTGTATAACTATCATTATTAAATAATATATAATCGTATAAATAAGTTTGGGTAGGAACATAAGGTGTCGGTATTAGCTCTTTCATCAACGATATAACAATGAATGGATACCGTCAAACGAAATATTTTTGAGTTTCTTCCAGGAAAAACATAGTTTGAACAGCGCTCAGTGTGTTGATCGCCGATCCTAAAATCGCTGTTAATAGTTCAAGCAGCCTAAAGGAGCATTGAGAAAATTTCATAGCATTCAGTTCTGATAAAATTATTAAATAGAAAATAATTAAAAAACAACAGTGTTATTAGATAGATAATTATAAACGTTAGAGATCTGAAGCTTCAGTGTTAGCACTTTTTTATAATATTGCATTTTTATATTTATTTATTTTTTAATAATATAATATAATATTTAGTCGGCTGTTTTTGTATAGTTCGTAGTAATAAAATATTAATTATTCAAATTATGATATATTTTTAAAACTTTTATATACAAAAAACAAATATATATATATATATATATATATATATATATATATATATATATATATATATATATATATATATATAATGCATTATGTATGATGGGTCATAAAATTACCATATTGCCCCATCACATCCGTATATATACGGACGTGATAGGATAGAATGGTAATTTTTGGACTCAGCATACATTAAAACTTAAACTCTATCAAAAATAACCCATCCAGATGAAAATGAATTTTAATTTTAAGCCCGCTATTAAATGTCCAATAAAATAAACTTATTATAGAAAAACCTTATTCAGATTGTCAAATTGTATATTTAAGCCCATTCTGACTTATTTATACTGATACGAAACATGTTTATTATTTTTTACAACTAATAAATATATTTTATAAAATTAATATTGCATTATTCTAATAAAAAAAAAATAAATATCTTATACTTAAAAAAATTTAAAATACCAAGTGCACAATTCAAAAATAATTATTTGCAAATAATGTTTGAAATTGTCATGTAAACAAATTACATCTTTAAGATTTTTAAGTACCAGTCACAGTGCCATCTCATACTACTATATAAATTGAACATACACACACAATTACAATTAAGTGGATTTATTTGTCATGTACTAACCATTCAGTTATAAACTTTATATAATTTATTTAATAAACTTTTGATTTAATACATCATTATTACTTTTGTTATTACAATGTCATAAAATCATTCATTGTAAATTTTTAATATTTTAATTGTATACGTTGTAACTGCTTAATTAAGTTTACTGTATGTACGTATTAACTTAGTTTGATTATGTTTATAACCTTCAACTTTCTTTTTAACATGACTACATTTTATGAGGAATTAATTATTTATACTAATGAAATATCAACAAAAAAATATTCTTGGAAAATTATTGTTTGGTGTGTTGTTATTATTATTACTTTCACTTGCCTATATATGAAATAAGTAGAGAGAGTGATATAAGACCTGAAGAGCTACAAAAAAAACATTCAAGTGGAAAAGGAAGCTATAATTAAGAAAAACTGAGCACGGACACCCTCATATAAGCATAATAAGGAAACCAATCGATATTATGTTGTTTTATCTTAATTTTTAATGTGATCAGTTGAATATTTACAAGTATAAAATATATGAAAATATCTCGTTTATATATCATTGTTCCATTTGCTTCTCATAATATTATAAAATCATTCATTGTAATTTTTTTTCTTTTCATTGTATAACGTTTCATGTAGTATATTACATCTCCGTTGATTAATTTAAAATATACAACTTTTATTTTGACCGTAAATAATGACATTTTATAAGAAAATGTTGATTTACAACAATGCAATAGCCAACAAATATTTATCGAATATTTTTGTTTGATTTATTTGTATTTTATTTTTTTTATAAAACATAAAAATATACTTTGTAACCTATTCAATATAAATTTAAATATAAAATATAATAAAGACATATTAGCTTACGAATTTTCAGTCTTGTTGGAATGCTGCGTATGGAACGGTGAAGAAACACTGACTGAGCCTTCACCGATCACCGACGGCCTTAAAAAAACTAGAACTGTAATTTTTTTTTCGGTTTGCCCTTGATAAATTAAAAGAGACCTGCATTGTAACGTTTTAGAATTAAAATTGTAGATAGCGCATCAATTTTCATTTCGGTGACGAGAATATAATTTTGTATTCATGTAAATTATAGTTATGAAAAAATACTGAAATTAAAGTTATAAACAGAGTACGTGCGTATTTCCTGTTTCAAATTAAATCTGATCAAACGTATATAAAGAAAAATAAAAATAAAATTATTATACGCTTCGAGGATTCTGCATTTATTTACTATATGATTATTTTTCAGAATTTGAAAATCCATCAAACATGTGTTGTTTTTTTAAAATTAATAATCAAAAATATTGTTTATATTATATTGATGTATACTAATTAACAATTAATTGAATATTAGTTTAAAGTTTTTAAAAAAATGGCAGATTTGTCAGATGAAAAAAAGCGTAACGAGTGTATCAACTAAAAACATAAAAATGAAAATTTTTGATAAAAAAAATAACTTATTTTTGACTAAGGAAAAACTTTAAGATATACAAAATTATGAAAAAAAAAATCTGTTCGTGAAAATGAATGATTTGTCCAAAAGTTCTTACTATATTATCACAAGGACTCATAGAGCTACTCTCCACCATTTACCTTTCCAACGGGTGTTTATTTCGGCGAAAACTATTATCAATCCTAAATAACCATCCTAGGTCTTGATGTCTTCGTCGAAATCTTTAAAAGACAATTTATCTCGTCTAAGAACATTGTAAATGATCGAACAAATTAAAGATATGTAAATTTAAAAACAATTGAGGTGTGTGCTTTGGACCACACGATATAATTGAAAACATCAACAAGGCGAGATTAACAATTTGAAATATAAATTATAAATAATTGCTCATTACAAAGAAGACACGCTAAACATTTCTCTTTCTCACAGTATACATATCCGAATTTGAGTATCTGAAATATTTTAATCTATATGATTAACTAACCTTGTACACTATTTTTTTTTCTTTTTCGCCTCTCTAACACGGCGTCGTGTTAAGATGCAATTTTGATTTATAGCCTTTTACAAAGAAGATGAAATGCTGAACAATTTCTTCGCTTACAGTATCCAGGTCCGATTTATAGTTTCTGAGATATTTCAATCCATATGTAAAAATATTTTAATTAGTCGACTCTAGGCTGACTTTACTAAAACTTTTTTCACTTCAGAAAAAAAAATGTTAAAATACTGAAATTGTATGTTTTCTTTTGTCCTATTTAAGTACTGGAACCTATTCTCTTAACCTGAAACTAATTAGAACTGAAGGGTTTTCAGTACATAATTAGACTAAACTAATCCAATCGTTTTATTCATATGACCTCAAACTTAAGATATCTCTCTATACGATTTGCCCTCGACCTAATAACACCTTCTAAATCGGGCACTTCAAGGATATGTTTATAATGTTTAATTAAGAGCGATCGACGGTCAGTTCACAAACCGATGAATATATTCATCCACTTCAACGGATTGAATTATCATCATTCTGAATTATTTTAATGAATAATCCGAGAAATAAAAAAATATTTCTCCATGATATAATCATATATTTCATACAAGAACAATCCGAATCTTATCGAGAATTAAAAAAAAGTCTCCATGGTATTTTGTAAAATATGAATTTTATAGTTATGGCAGCGGCTTCTTCAACAATTCAGGTTCAACTACCCAAACTATTGAAGAGAGTTTTTAGAATACCCAGAAGTTCTCTTTTAATTTCTAAACATGGAGGAATTATACATTTTGAGATATCCATGATTGATTCAATTAATAAAATTATATATTATTGTGAATGATTAACAGCTTCATTCACAATAATCTATCTACACTACATATAATAGTATATCCGTTTTTCGGATTTTTAGGCTCATGAGCGAACGACTCTAAAGACAGTAATTTTATAGATAAGAGACCCATTCCAATTCCGACTCATAAACTCCTACTATGACTTTTAAGTTTATTTATTTTATTCATAAGAGTCATTAAAAAAGAAAAAAACAGGAGATTTCCAAACATCGGTGAGTCATTGGATCGAGATGGGACAAATAGTATTTTGGTGGGTTTCGACCCATGTATCAAGACTCAGTTAGGTTTGTTTGACCTGCGTTTAAAAGCACAAAAATGTTTCATTTTTAATTTAAAATGTTTTCATTAATTTTTATTTTAATTCATTTATTTTATTTGTATTTATTGTACATATGGAATGAATGAACTCCTGTATCACTATTACTGTTAGTAATCTACTAATCACCTTAGTTGTGAAAGTAGCGTTGGGATCTCTTCGAGTCTTGCTTTATTCTCCTTAGTTGAACCGGCAAGCATGCCTTGGAGTTCCCTCGCCTGATTTTAAATAGTGTATATTGATATGTCTGTGTTTTTAATTTAATTTAATTTTTTATTATTATTATTTGGTTGCTATTTTGTTTCTGTTTATTTATAATTTGAATTACTTTATTTTCTGTCTTAATTGTATTCTTAACTCACCAGAACCATTGTCCAAGGGAAATTTTTATATTACTGATAAATATTATATTACGCAATAAATAAATAAAACAAAAAAGGAAATACAATGTAATTGATACCAAAAGCCACCTAGGTTTAACGGTTACCATGGTATATTTAACGTTTTTTATTTAGATTTTCAAAAAGTAAAAAATTGCGCTTTATTAGTGTTGCCCGAATGCGAGACCGAGACGAGTCTTGGTCTTGCAAACTCAGTCTTGGTCATGGTCTTGGTCTTGCGTAAGAGTTTCGCAACAATCTTGCAGTTGCTTATTACTATAGAGATATTACTGTAATTTTTTAGATAGTAGAAACCTAACTAAGCTCGAATGAAAAATTAGAGGAGTTGAATGCAAAAGTACATTAATTATACCAATTATTAACATATAGTAACTAACATTGTCAAGTATTAGTAACTATTTGGCCTTAATTTATATTTGAGATTTTTTTACCAATCTTGGTCTTTCTCTTGTAACAGTTAGGCGGTCTTGGTGAAGACCAATTTTGGGCAACACTACTCTTTATTACTTATACTTATTACTTATTACTTATTTATGTATTAAAGAGGTAAACGGAGGAGTTTTAAGGTGTCAAACATACCTCGAGTATATAATTTTTTTTTTTATTCGTATTCTTATTCTTATTATTCCTTATTACCATTTCCCAAATCTCGGGAGCAACGGATTTTAATGAATGAGATATCAAACAAAAATAATTTCATGGAGAAGTGACGAATCCCGATTTCGACAATGAAATTCCTGACAAGACTTTAAGAAAGCTCATTGTTAAAAAATAATAAGCGGTTTAAAAACTCCTGATTAAAAAAAAAATCATCGAAATCAGGCATTACATAGGCAATTGTAATTTGAATAAATATTTTGGTCTATTATTTTTGATTAAAATTTATTCCTACATCTAATGATACATTCCATTAACTTAGCTCCATATCATGTTGCCATTCGTTCGCTAATTAATACACTATGTGCATTATTTCACGAATCATAAAGTAATAATCATTTAAGATTTGTTTTAGAAATATTAACTTCGTTGATTTTTTTTTTCTCTTTTTTCACACCTATTTATAGACATGAAGTTGTAGACTGAAATAACTCTTTTAAACATTAACATGAATGATGAGATGAACGTGCAATAGATTCACACGCCATTCATCTCGTGACCCGCATCGGTTGCGAGGAAGTGCTGTTTACACAGAGTTGTTTTCGCATCTAATGCTTTATTACTAGAGTAGGCTATTATCCCATCTTTAACCGGTCACATGACTCGTTTATACAACAATATATAATGAACAATATCTAAATCTAAAAACATGAACTTAATATTAACAATAGGGAAAAACATATGTATTTATTTAATGAAATGGCTATCTAAGAAATTTAAAAGCTGGAAGTATCAACAAAAGCTAAACAAAAAATTATTAGCAGTTATAAAAAGTAAAATTAAAATACTTTATTAATATTTCTAATTAGAATCCAGCATGAACATATACAAAAGACAAATGTAAACGTTCTTCGTCACCTGATAATATCTAAACTGAGAGGGGTGGCCGCGGCGAATCAACGGCTCTCAACGCGAAGTCTCTTGGAGGAAGAAGTTAGGTAACACAGCTCGCAGTGAAGAGAGGACACAGACTAATTCGTGGGCACCAAAATTATAGCTTGTCCGATTCTAGGCTGTCATCGGAAATGGGTATAGCTGATGCTAGCAAGGTTGCACAACAAAAATAAACGCAAGCTGTTTATGTCCTGCAAAATTAACAGTGAATAAAATTAAAGATGTTGGCTGCTCCAGTCCGCTTTTCTTAAATTTGAACTTAACATCAATTGGAATATTCCACTGATCCCTGTCGAACAGTTCCGTTACCTAGGACTCCTTCTTGACAAACGCCTTACTTGGAATCCTCATGCTAGACTTAAAAGACAAGAAACTGCCAACAGATTACGACTCCTACAACACTTACTTGACAAAAGCTCTAAACTTCCAATATTCTACAAAAAATTCATTTACACTACCATCATCAGGCCCATTTATTTGGACATACGCTATTGAGCTTTGGGACTCTACAAAAACATCAAATTCTTCCTGTATTCAATCCTTACAATCCAGAATCCTCCGTGAAATCCTAATTGCTCCTTAAACTAATAAAATTATTCATAAAGAAGTCAACATTCCTCTTGTGGAAGACTTGGCCTGAACCATATGTTCCTCTTTTAGTTCCAAACTCTTTGGTCACCCCAATCCTCTAGTTCATAACCTTTCATCCAATACAATTCCTGAGTCAGGAATCGAATTGAGTCAGGAATCCTGACAACCCTCCGAGGCGTAGTTCAGTTGGTTGGGCACTGGGCTGCTAAGTTGATGTCAGGTAATTTCCTATCAGCCAGGGATAGACCCTGGGGTCGGCGCTGGTGT